GTCCGGAATCCCCGGGGATTTTTTGGGGGAGAGTTGACTAGGGTTTGGTTTTGAAAAAATCAAATACTTATCATTTGAGGATTCACTCGACGATCCAAAAGATATTTCAGGAGAATTATTGATAACAGTGTTTGATCTCTTGTGTAATAATGTGTTTGATGGATTTCGTCGAACAAAATAAGCAATACTATTTTTATAATATATCGATTATTCACATGTAGAAAAAATAAGAATGTTGCAGTCATGTTTTGATCTCTGATTGCTCTCACAAAAGTATGAGTTGTAAAGACCCGCTACGTAACAATCGAGAACTAAAATTGAGTGTATGCTTGATTACCTGTTCATCGGATTCAATTTTTGTTGTAGTTATTTCTTCTTGCTTTATAATAATATCAATTAATTCATCTTTGGATAAGTCTTGTAACTAAAAAGAAAAATGTTTTTATAATCTATGTCTATGTGTTTATTGTTTTTTTTTTACCGTCATATGATTTTCAGTAATTTTGTTAAATATAATCATAGAAACGCAGACTATTATCTAAAACAAAATCAAGCTTTTCTCAAAAATCATATATGTTCTATTAAAGCAACGCTCACAAGGCAACATCTCAAACTGTCGAATACTATTTAACTTCATATTTTGAATGTTAGAATAGGTCCCGATGAAACCAAGAAAAGTAAAAGATGACCGAACCCATAGTTTCACTCAATCGATATCAAGTGCCTTCTATGTTGAAAAGAAATCATTCTTCCCACATTTTCTTTTCCTATCTAAAAAAAAGTTGAAATTTGAAACACTGAACATAAAGACTACATCAGACTTCAAATTTTTTCATTGAAAAAGTTCTATAACTCTTAAGATATTGTTATCCTAATTCGTCATTGTTATAGTTCGCCGTAAGGAGAAAAATGAGTAAAAAATATATTGTCTCTTCCCTCAAAATCTACATGAATGGCAACAAATATATACAATATTAGAATTTGATGCCAGGAGACTATGGATTCGGATATTTTAATCTTTTGTTACGTTAGTCTTATAGAGACTTAGTCACAGTTGGAACATGAGGTCAAACAGCGTTCGACAGATAAAGATGATTCCTCATTAGTCTTTTCGATCTCTTATTCATTATTTAATGTTTATTGTACATTCACAACATGGACATTGCTTTACAATTATACATAACCTCTAAGATAGAACAGAGGGCGTTCAATATCAGTCTGTTGAAGACATATGTATGTGTTTGTATTGATTTTGGTTTTTCTTTGTTACCAGCTGATAATTGACTAAGTAGTTCAATCTATGATTTAACAGATGATTCAGTCACAGCCTGCGAAAGTGAGGGTGTACAACCTCAAGCAAGACGAGAAAGTTTTTCTGAAATTTTACACTACTTGTGTAAGCCATGTTCTTATATGCCCCCAATCTCAGGACCTTTGCGCGGGCGTAGCTTCAGTAAATAATGAAAAATTGTCAATCAATTGATCCGTGGTCTGATGATTCGAAGAAAAAATGCTCTTTGATATATACAACACTTTCATTAGTTAAATTTTTAACAAAAACTCTTAGTTTTTCTATTTATGTGTCTAAAGTTAGTAGTGAGTAAAACTCAACCTTTTATGGGAAAAATGTAGAGTTTCTTCATAGATAGCGTCGCAGGTTCTATTAAGAACGAATTGACTTTCATCGAAAGAGAACTTCAGACTCGTAAATAAAAAGAGGAGAACTTCCTGTGAGAAATTTATTCAATGAAAGTGCTGTGTATGCCAAAGGAGTGCAGGTACACGAGAATAAAGAAATAAATTGACTATATATGCGTAATTGATATATTTTAAGTGTTTCTTAAAAAAGACAAACTATCGGCTATTATTCTATAAAATTCATCGCGATAGGCATTGTTATATAACGGATGGGCCAGATTAAACGACGCACTTTTGTTTGCTGTCTTTGAGGTACTTAGAAATGGTTTTAAAATCCAGTTTAGGCCTTATTGGATAGAAAATTCATTGCTCTACCAAACTGTCTATTCTGTTTTTAAAATAAGTCTTTCTTGTTGGCGAAAAATTTGAACGATGAATACCTACTCAATCATCCAATTGTGATTTCCCATTTTTCTGCAGACATCTATCGATTTGTGTCAGCCTTTATTCATCAAGTCTGATGCTAAAAGTAATGGATTTAGCATCAATGGATAGAGAATGTTGTGCTCTACACTTCCACGACATTTCCCAGGCTTCTAGTGTTGTCTCTCAGGAGAGAAAGGCTTGAAGAAGACACTTGTCGATATTTTTGGTTGCACTTTGGAAAACCATCTTTTCAAAAACCAGGCTTGTTCTATGAAAGGTTTTATTCCCATGTCGTTGGATGTAGAATTTAATTTTGAACTGAGTAGTATAACTGTTACATTGAACGGTGAAAAAATTTTGATTGTTTCGAACTATAAAAGAACAGTGGCATAGGTCTGTCAGAAAACGGTCTTTTTTCGGTGTTTTCATATGTTTTACTTCAAAAGTTTTTGCCCCAAATATTTCTTCTGAAATATGCATCCAAAGATGTAGAATTTTATTGAGAATTTTGTAGCATACTTGAAATTTTAGCGGAAACTTTATTAAAAATTTCTCATCATTTTTTGGGTTTTTAGACTGTCGCAGTTGAACAATTGAGGAGGTATTCATCGTTCAAATTTTTCGCTGACAAGAAAAACTTACTTGAAAAACAGAATAGACAGTTTTGTAGAGCAATGAATTCTCTATCAAATCAGATCCAAACTGGATTTTAAAACCATTTCTAAGTACCTCAAAGACAGCAAACAAAAGTGCACCGTTTAATCTGGCCCACCCGTTATGCTTTAAGTCTAAACTCAATTTCACGGGTTCGCTTTAAATTGATCATTGTATTGGAGTAGAATTTTCTTTGGATATATTCATCTGTTATTTGACTCCCTGATTTGTCACAAATTGGTCCCATTCTCGATTCATTCCAATTAAAGTTCTGCAACCCAATCTGACCCGCCGGTGGTTACGGGTTGTACCTTGATGACTTTCAAGTTTTTGTCGGGTTGATTTTTCCTAACAAAATATATTACTCTGCGTACTTTTCACGCTTGACTTAAAAATTAATATGCCACAAAGCTATCGATTCATATTATCTATAAATACCGTAGCAATGGTTCAAACAATTCTGAAACGATTATATAATTTAAAATTCCTCTCCGGAATAAAGAGTTTATACTAAGTTCTGATTTCCGCGTGCAGTATTTTTTTCTTACATCTTCCTAAAGTCGAAGAGCCTGATATTTACAGTATATATACTAGATGCATAGATTTACTCTATGCTAAAATTTCAGCTTTCTACTTTTTATTGCTACCGAGATACAAGCATTATCAAAATTTTTAAAAATCGAAATATTTTCAGGAAAACCTGAGTATATTTTGAACACTTGATAATAATGTTACATAAAAAATAGTGTTCGAAAGCAGATTTACAAACTGAAATTTCTTTTAAACAATCAATAAAAAAACATCAATGATTATGTATTTGTTCTCCATCTTGAACTATCACTAGCTTCAGTTGATCATATATTCCTTCCATCATTTGCCGACATTTTTTCACAGTAAACGTTCTCCATTGTTGTACTACTGGATTTTCCAATTCGAATTCATTATCAAATTGTTGTCCTCTCTCTGTTCTTCTTTAATTGCGCCCGATACATTTTCTATTGGGTGTGAGTGTGGGTGTGGGTGTGGGTGTGGGTGTGGGTGGGAGGCTATGGGTGCGGGTGTCCGTATTCTTCTGAACAAAATGCACACCCACACCCTAAATGCATTAATGATGGTTAGGAAAAGTTACTGCTCGTTCAGAATCTAAACATAATGTAAACTAAAAATTTTCCATCTCAAAATTTCGAGTCCTCTTCTGGACTATTTTCCAGTCGCTGTACAAAACTTCTAATAGCCAGCAGGTTTCAGTTTACATTCTATTTGACTAAATATTAAAAAAGAAATATTATTTTAACGTGAACGCTAGGGTGTGGTTGTAGGTGTATAAGTGAGCGTGGTTGTGGAGAAGAATGAAGAGAAGACTAGCACTTACACCCCCATTCATCCAATTAGTTAGAACAAAATGCATTGCAATACCAGCATGAAGAACATTTATACCACGTCAGCAATGACCTGCTTTTATTCGAGTATTTATAATAATATCTACAGTAATTCTGTTTTTCAGTCTGATTCTCATTTGTAAATAGTTTTTTTGAACCAAAACTTGCGTAAGCTGTAGCTTTTATTTAAGTGAGGCTACAAGCAATTTTTCAAAAGCTTCTTATAACGTAAAATGATGGTCGACTTTTCAAAAATGAGTATTTAGGCAAAATAAAAAGTGCAGTGCATTGTGTAGAATAGCTTCTGTTCTACAAATTGATATAAAAATATAAATCCTAACTTGAAATTTCGAATTGCAATAATGAAAGTAAAAAAACTTTTCATCCAAGCTAATTTTTTGAGCTTTTGAAAGATGATTTTAATAGTTTCGAATAAAAACTGAGACGAAATTTCTAAGTACATAGTCACAAAGAACATAAAATTCTAGTCTTAACTCATTGAGAGTACTTTCTAGCGCATTAAAAGTGAGCAAATATCTTGTTTAAAAACTTCTCGACCACTCATTAATAACAAATGACTGATATCGTTGTAACCAAAGAAAACATAAGTTATGAAATTTATCTTTTGACTTATGTACTAGAGAAATGAAATTGACATATTATTTTGTTTAATTATTCTCTATTAAAAAAATCGTACTATTCGATTTTTCTTGTCTCAGACTTGAATGCTTATTCTTTGATGTTCTAATTGTAAGTAAAAGAAATAAAAGATATGGCGGCTTTTTTGTTTTTAATTAAAACTCAACTATAAATTATGGTTTTTGAGAAAACAGAACAATTATCGAAGGAAGATGAGAGACTATCAGGTAGACCGTAAATGAACTATCAATGATAATAATAAAGATGTTATTAATAGAGAAAAATCAGAATAAAAATGATCCATTGTTTCGTAATCTTCAATTTAATTTATGTGAATTACAAAATGAAGAACGTGACAGAAATATTAAAGTACGTAGATAACTAATCAATATTTCTAAATTCTTTTTTTGTTTTTAATTTTATTTAGAAACAAGACAATCTTTTCAATGGAAAAAATATCACTAAAAACAATTTTTGTCAAGATGAAATCGATAAAATTCTCCATCAAACAGATTCAGTAGCAGTTAGTATTCAATTCATTTTATTATTCTATTCATTTTATTTTAAGTCAAATGAATATAATCAATTATTAACAAATTCTGATCGATTATGGATTATTACTCATGTTCAAAGTAAAATTTGTATTATTAATACAATACTTTTTTTGTAAAACTTTTTGTTGCCCATAGATCGACGACGAGAACGAAAAAGTTTACAAGATTATCTTCGGAAAAATCATGAAATATTTACATTACAAGTAAATATTTAAAATAAATTCCAATAAACTATTTCTTTTTCTTTGAATAAAGCATACTCTTAATATTAAACATGATGAAATTGAACGTTGGGAAAATCATTTACGTCAAGAAGAAATTGCATTAGCTAAAGCTGAAAAACATATTGTTGAAGATTTAGCTTTATTTGATCAATTTCTTGATGCATGTAATCGAAGTGCTAATGATGCAGCTTTTCGGTATTTTTCTAACTGTTTCGAAAAGATGTATTACATAATTTTTTTTAGAGTTGATGAAGAATCACGTAAAAAAGATGAATTAGTCAATGAAATAAAACGATTACAAAAAACTCTTATTAGTTATCATAATGATCAAAATCATTTAACAGATATTTTGAAACAATCACGTCGATATCAACAATTTCTTTTTAAATTTGCTCCTAAAGTTAGATCTCAAAAAGAATTTCTTTTTTCCATTAATTGATGTATACACAGGAATGGCGTGCTGATATTCTTAAACAACTAGAATCTACACGTAAGATAACGATGCTCATCCTCTAGTTCAGGACATGTATGTATTTGAATAAATTCACGTAGGATAATTCCGAACTTCGGAAGTCAGTGGTACTTGGAAGTAATATTCCGATCCACAAAATCTCTGAAGTGTTCCGGTGACTTTCAATTTTTTTCCACCGGAAATAGTAAAAAATAAAATATCTTAACCTTGACTGAGAGACATAGTTTACAGAATTACTATCTGTCTACGTTTATATATAATAGATATTGAAACTAAACCTATTGACAATATTAAATCTTCAATAATAACGTCTGTATAATTATTTTGTCCATCTCCTTTGTAACTTCTCATCTCTACTAAGGTCTACTCCAATTGAACAAAACGATATTGAATTTTATAATGATTCTAATATATTTACCAATGAAGTATTACGTTTATAAGTAATCATTAAAACATATTGATTCGTTTCTTTTTCTTTTTCTGTCATAACAAGAATTATTCACTTTATTTTACTAAACCTGAACAATTACTTGATATATTCACTGAAATGGAGGAAAAATCTTTACCACTTGTTGAAAAAAGTCAATATACATCTGAAATACTTGATAAAGTACATTCAACTATAAATAATACTATTACTGAACAAAATCATGAAGTTGAACAACTTCAGCTCAAAATAGATCAATTAGAAGAATTAATTAAACATGAAATCGAACATGAAATTTCTTGTCAAAATACTCTCATGTATTTTTTTCCTTTTCTTTTTGGTTCATAGAAAACATATTTATCCATTTATTGTTTCTAGACAATATAAAAATGAAAAAAATGATCCATTTATTGAACAAATAAAAAAAACTATTGAAATCTTATATAAAAGACATGTTATTTCTGATGATATTGGTATATCAACAGTTTATATGTTACAAACAATTGAAAATAAAATCAAATCTTTATTAAATATAATTGAACATATGGATTCATCTGCTGTCATGGAAGCTGAAAAAGTATCTTTAAGAAAAAACATAGTAGAATATTCTTGTATCATATTTTTAGTTTCGTGAAATTGCTATTCGTACGATGGAACGTCAAGAAAAACTTCGACAAGAAAAAATAATGAATGATTTAAAACATCAAAAAGCGTTACTTCGAACATCAGCACCACCTTTTCCAAAAGTATTGTATATATGTATATAATAAACATTCAATGTGTCTCTTTTCTTTGTTCAGATTGGTAGAATAATAATGGAACGTTCACGTCCATTAGTAGTAAAAAAGCATCAAATAAAACAACATTCAACTATTAATAAACAAGAACAATTAATGAGATTACTTGAAAATTAAAATGATATTAATGTGAGATTTGTTGATGTTTGATTGCAATTTTGTTCATGATGATGATGATTATTATGATTATAAACATCGCTTAGAAATGCATGATTAATTAAATCTTCAGCTGTTGGACGGTGGTGATAATCTTTTGTTAGACATGTATCAATAAATTCTCGAGCAGAATTAGATACATTGTCTGGCAATTGATATCTTGAATAAAAATATAAAAAATAATAAAATATGAATATAAATTGAAATATTTACTCTGGTTTTTCACAAGTAGCTATATGAAATATTGCAGCTATTGGTTGAAGATTTTGCCATGGTGGACCCGTTGTTAACACTAAAAAAATTCATAATTAAAAAATACTTAATAAAAGAAAGTTTTACTTACTTTCAACAATTGTACAACCGAGACTCCTGAAAAAAAAAATACTCATATCGAATCGATAATTTCAAATTCTATTCTTCTTACCAAATATCTGCTTTACGTCCAAAAATACTTCCTTGGATAATTTCAGGTGCTGTCCAATGAGCTGTACCTATAATAAACAAATAACTTCTAGAGGTTTTCATTTTAATTAATTTAATATCATTCAAGACAATCTTGAATTCTTCTTTCCATTGAAATATATAATCGCACTGTTCTGTCATCATTATGTCAAAGTTTTGTTTTTGTATTTCTTCTGAAGACTTAAAATAAACTTGAAAGCTATTGAAATCGATTTTAACCATACACAATAAGAATATTAATGTTGCGATGGAGAGAAGCCGAAAAATAGTATAGATCGTCAAAAATTTATTGCAAGGCTTCTCATCAATGAATGAAAATGATTAAAACATTTTTTACATGTGAATCTTGTATGGATTGCGTTAAAAGTTTCTGAGATTGAAAGAAAAATGCTCGATTTGACTCTGTTAATTTAAGTGCAATAAAAATTATTCTAATATTAAAAACTGTCTTTATAACAATTTATATTATAATTTTGATACATAACAGGTATTGACCAAAACAATACGAATAACTTTTTTTGCAAAATAATCTCTCTCGGAGTTCACTCTGAATATTAGAAATAGTTATTAAACATTAGCTATTGAATAAATAAAGCTGAAAGTCCTCAAAAGTAGAGATCATGATAAACTATTGTTTAGTCTCTATATGATTTAGTTAATATGTTGTTTATTTCCGTAATTATTTCGATAAATGATTTAGAACTTTCGTAGAGTTATTCTTTGATTTACTATGGTGACAAAACAATAGAAAATTTTCAAGCTAGTTTTCAACCATATTTAAACCTTTTTACAATCAATAAAAAGAAAAGCATTGATGATCATCCTAACAATTTATGCGAAATCATTAACAACATCCACATATTACACGAAAATTATCTCAAAAAGAAAAGATCTTAGATTCTGCCCTTTTACAGTAGTTTTTAAATGAATATCGTGGTCTCCTTTGGGAATACCAGAAAAACTGATTTTTAAATTTCGATTTGAAACTTTATATAAAGACAGGCTTTCATGGAAATAGGTTTTTGTGAATATTTCAGATGTTTTCGTTGTTCCTATCCTAAGATACAACTATAATCACAGAGTATCTTTTACATCTATCGTATAAACCAACAGATTTGATGTTCTTATTTTAGAATGGAAACTTTCACAAAAAACTGTTCTCGTCAGAGCCTGTCTTTATACAAATTTTCAAGTCGAAATTCGAAAATCAAATTTTCTTGGCACGAACTCTTTTCAACGTATTCATAGTTCATTTAGATCTACACAAAGTACATAGTCTTGACTCAAAAACGGTCAAAGACTTGGACGATTCTTCTTGTTAATGACACCTTCTGACTCACTCCCATCTGATCGCATGGTTTCCAAGCAGTTCTTTAGTCATTAAATATGAGCAAGATCTAATTCTAACATTTAATTTTCATATATCATTAAATTGAATTTTAAAATGATTTTTGTTTTCTCTTACCAATAGTACCCGAATCTGGTTGATTTTGATTAGTAATAGCAATCAGTCGTCTTGATGTACCAAAATCAGCTAATTTGATATTACCTGAGATATCTCTCAAGATATTTGCACCTTAATTTTAAATAAAAATGTATTTTGTTTTTCTTTGATTTCGCATAAATAAACTTACATTTTATATCACGATGAATAAATCGATTTGTATGTAAATATATAAGACCTTCAAGTATTTGTCTCGTATATTTTTTTGTTAATTGTTCTGTTAATGCACCATAATTTAATATTTGTTCACGTACTGATCCACCAGTCATATATTCCATAAATATTTGTAAACAATCTTCTGTTCTTACAGCACCATGGTATCGAACAATACGTTCATGAGTTAATTGTTTATATATATTTATTTCACATTCAAGAATTTTCACTTCCTATTCATATTGATATAGATGTCATTATATTCGTTATTGTTACTATAGTCCTGGACAAAAATAGCTGTTCTCTATAAAGTGTTACGATTTTTTATGGTATTGAAATGATATTTTACATGCGCATGTGTGTGAAAATAAACCCTGATTGCAAACATTATCTTTCTTTTGTGACTACCTGATTTGAGCCGTGTTAGTACAAATATTTTCGTCGAATTTCTTACTCGATAATCCAATGTCGTAGCTATCTCCAGTCCGAATTATTTTGGGAAATCTCTTTAAAATAATTGAGATATTGACTTCTCAATAAGAGTGTCTTTTGAAGATCAAATATGAGCTTTCAGTAAGATGGATCTTTTTCATGATGAATTTGAGAATTTTCAGTAGAAAGTGCTCATGAGACAATAGATCCATTCTGATATTTTTAGAACTGAAAAGTTAAACGATGTCGAGATAGCGCTTCGACATAAGTTAATTATCTCAAAGAGTACTAATTACTAAGACCTTGACTATGTGTCATGGACTTCACTGATGATAAAGTAGACGTATTGGCCTGCCTTTAGCGCTAGAAAAAAGAATGTAACCGTTTGTAGAATAGCAAAGAATATCTATGACTCATAACTTCGGTACATGTGAACCGATATAGGGCAAAATGATGACTGATCAGTTCAATAGCATAAAGAATAATAGTATTTTCTTAGGGAGGAAGGACGGCTACTTTTGTCCATAACTTTATTTAACTTACTCGAGATGTTTCTAAACTAAGTCCACGTATAGGAATTTGTTTAATTGCTAACTCACTACCAGTATCAACATCATAGCAAAGAAAAACTTTACCAAACGCACCTAAAAGAAAAATTTCAATACTATTTTTTTTTACATAAAAAATTATTTATTTAAAAACTTACCGTGTCCTAATTGTCGCCCTAATTTCCAATTTGAAGGTGTTTGAGGAGCTTGAAAAAAAAACAAATGACTATAAGAAATAATTTTCATTGAATTTATTTACATTTATAATGATGACCAGAACAAGAACATTGTGTACAAAGAGATTCACTTGAACTTGAACTTGTATTAGATGAATTACTACTTGAACTAATCGCGCTACCACCACTTACACTCGATCCTGCAGCTGGACGTTTTACCAAATAACTAGCTAGAATTAGAAAAAAATGATTTTGTTTTTTTCTTTTCATTAACCCTTTACCCCCCATAGAGGTTCCAGAAGAGCCACTGATAAAATAACTTTATTAATACAGTACTACCCTCGCTAGTATGCAAATGGCATAATCTGATCCATCGAATGTTCTGCTCTAAGAGTAGGACGATTTGATTTATCGAGAAATCATGGGGTAGGGAAAGAAAATTGAACTACACCGTAAGAGTTGATTTTTATTCTTTGACCACAATATTGAGTGCACAGAAGGAACATCTATCTCGCGCTATTAGAATAATGGAAAAAAGACGAGAAATAAACCCATAAAAATGAACACCAAAGAATACATGCGTTTTTTAGGTGTTTTTTC